GCGCAAAGTATGGAAAATGGTCTCGAGCGATTGAGGTTAGATTATTCGTCTTTGAAGATGAAGCGTTAACAATGATCGAAAAGTGAATGTAAAAGCTTGTTTCATAGCACAGAGCGCGTTGGTTATTGGCACAGGTTACGGCCAAGTATCGAGCCGTTAATTTCAAATAACGGAAAAGCACGTTCACCGCGCGACTTTCACTGTCTACCTAGCCATGGTTAGAGAATACTGGAATTATTGGCAAAGACCAATAGAATTGCGATAATATTTAAGAGAATACGATTCATCCAATGGATCATCTCGATCGAACATCAATTCTTTTTTTCTTTTTTCTCGCGATTTTCCGAGTCGAACTTTCGAACAGATCGTATGGATATTGTTAGATTATTATTAGAATAATCAAACGTGAATCATTAAAATATGATGAATGAACGTGATTATACATAGATAGATACTTTTTGCAATTTTTTCCTCTAGAAATAAATTTTTTGTATAAGATTTTTATCAGCGATTAATATTCTGAATTAAGAATAACAAAATATATAATTCGTATAATATATAATTTTCTAGTTATTGATTATTTACATCTTATTATAAAAAATTGACATGCAAAATTATCTTAATCCATCACTGATTACAATTTTGAAATGATTAAATTAAGAAAATTGTGAATTATCTTCGTAAAAAAAAAAAAAATAAAACATCCGCATCACACCAAAAAAAAATAGTTTGTATTTTGAAACTAAACGATTTTAATACCATTCAAGCTTAAGCTCAAGACACGAGATACTCTAATTACTCGATACATACATAGCACAGTTTACGAATAGAGTGAAACTTACCGGTTATAGCTATTAACTGTACTCCACGCGTCTAATCATATTTATCCACGAACGAATAATTCAATGTAATCGGATAAACGAGTTCTCCGCTTGTGTACTGAGAGCAAGCTTGAGAAAAGATCAAGTTAAACGGAGAGAAACGGGCATTACATTGCAACCTCCGACCCAGATAAAGAATGCTATGGTGCACTCGTTGCAGGTGAATGCACTCGGAATCCAGAAGACCCAATCTTGGTCGCCATTATTTGGAAAAAGTCATGAGCACTCGCGGAAAAATATTCAGAACACATTCTACAATGATTATTAATGACACATCTTTCATTATTCGATATTATTTAATTTTATTTTTAATATCTAATTATTCGTACATATAACCTAAAACTGCATATTTCATTTTATATATATATGTAATGCATTTTGTCAGAATTTCAATGAAACGATTAATATGTGAATTAATATATCCCGTTATTTTATACGTATACAAATACGATTGCGTGAGATCAAATTGATCTCGTTTAAAATACCTGTTATTCAAGTAACTTGTATGCAATGTCTATTAATATTTAATTTTATGTTTATTTTATTTTCTAGCAATGATTGCTTAAATAAGTTTAAGAATTAAACGAAATTAAAAAAATAGTTATTTATATTAGTATATAAAAATGATATTCATAATGGAATAAGCAAAAAATGATGCAGCAAGATGCATTGAACTAAACGTGTAACAGGTATGCGAAGGTGGTTTTTCCGCGAGTATGGAGGGGAGAAGCACAGTCAAGGCAAAAGTAGGGTAAATGTATCCACGTAGGCAAACGACTCTCCTTTGAAGATCAATCAGAGCGAACTAAAAATTTTATAAGTAGAATTCTTCGGATTCGTGCAATTTAGAAAGGATTTGTGAATGATATTGCATGTCAATAATGCATGAATAATTCAACTGTTTCATTTTACGCGTACAAATATTATGCAAATAAATATAAATCGAATTCTAATATAACAGTCTTTAAAAATACCTATATTTTTATAATTTTACAAAAAAATATCGTTTTTATGTTAAAAAATTAATTTTTTAATTGCTTGAAGTAATTTTAAAAATAAAATCTTTATAAAAATTACTATTATTATGATCCAATCAAAAGTATCTATATTATAAAATATAGTATAATAAAAATCCCTAAAAAAGAAAAATTTAAAAATTCCCGCAATCACTTGAATATGTCGGATCATAATTCAATTTGCTTATTAAACTCGAGAATATTCGAAATGGAAGAACGGATAAGATCAAAATACAGCAGGATAATGCTGTTTATCTCTTTGCTAAAAACTGAAACACGAAAATACACGATCAACCGTGTCCGGTCGTTTAAGGTCAACGCACGACGAACGCGAAGCAACCGAACGTATTTGTACGACGCACACGACAAGGTATATGGCGAACGTTAGGGATTCGCGACATTCCCGTGGCTGTCACGCTTGTCAATCGTCGCGAACCGTTCTGCTAGCGGTTTCGATTGTATTATAGTACAAAACGAATGTAATGAAACGCTTGTACTCACCGAGAATCGCCTGGAGGGTTTGCTCGTCCCCGTCCCCGATGACATCCATACCTCCGTTGATAATCGGACCCCTGAGATCTTCCGGGCCCGATCAACGGGCCCCATTTTGTCTCCAGGCTAGAATGTCACTCGACGCGACGTCCCACATAGTACGCGACGTTTAATGTAACTCTCTTCCGTTTCCCTCTCTCTCTCTTTCTCTTTCTGTCTCTTCACGATTTCACGGTGCACTTTCTGTCTTTTTTAACCGTGCTTTTCTTTTGAAATTCCACCGAACGAGATAAGTTCACAAACAATACTTCTTCCGTGTCGTCACTATATGTTTTCTTATACCTTCGAGTGCAGCGACACGATCTATGAACGATCACTGTCGAGAATCGGCACGATGAACGGCAACAATGAGAACATCGCAAAGAAAAAAAGATTATCCGTTCCGTATCCAAAAGAACAAACGCACCACTTAAACGAACTTGTATACCGTCTTTGTATGTTTTTCTTCTACTTGTTAAAACGATTTCTCCGTACGTTATTTCACTGTTGGCTCGTACACCCAGGAGCCGTGTCGAATCCCGAGGCGCGGACTAAACTTGAGTTCCGTCCGCCGACACTACACGCGCACGAATCGTAATACATGCAAACACGCCCCGTGTATGTCGCGCCGAGAACGAGTTGATCACGTGACGCACGTCAGTCTTCTCCGGACGAAGTTTGAAAGAAGCGCGCATTGACGATCTCTCGTGAAAATATGTTGTGCTTTTATAAAGACACATTTGTGCAATTTTCCATTGTGATAATTGATGATTGTTTATACTATCATTATAGTTTATCTTTATCAAAACATTATGACAACTACGAAACTTTTAAAACGTAAGTGAAATCTTGAATATCATCGTCAAATTTCAAGATGGCGACACCGAACTACATTTTGCGCGGTAAAACGAAATCAATAGACATATTGAGTCAGAATTCTTATTTCGAAAATGATATGAATATTCTACATGAAATGGAAGAGTTTTTCGTCTTCAGTTGTACGAATTTCGAGAAATGTAAGTTATTAATATTTCTTTCCTTGATATTTTTCGTATTTAGATATATTTAGATAAATAAGTGATGTTTAAGATATATAATTTCTTCATTAATGCACAATTATATTGGGATTGCTAGAATGAAAAAAAAATTTCATCAATTATAAAAATAGAATTTTATTCTTAATAAATAATAACTAATACTATTTCTCATAACATATTCGTATATACATTTGATATCTTATAATCTATGAAATATTAAACAGATAATATATAAGGAAGATTAGTACAATTTTTTATGATACATATACACTATATAAATTTTTTTTATAGTACATAATGCATACGTTTAATATTTTCTATACGAATTTGTTTGAAAGAATTGAATATTTTAATCAAAATGGCGGATTAAATCTATAATTCAAATTTAACGTTAATTTTTATTGTTAAAAATAAAAAAATTTATAAAATATTTATAAAATATACAAATTTTAATAAATAGAAAACAACTTAAGTTTTTTTATAAATTGTTTTATAAAATCATTATAAATAATAATTTTTCATAAAGAAAATTTAATAAACATAATCGCGATAGTACTCCACTTCCTAAAAAAGTACACGTAAACATTGCATGGGTACTATAAACATTTATTACGTCACATAAGTACAATTGAACACCAAAGGGTTTCTAAATAATTATTATTGTTATTGTTATATTATTAATACGTTTACATTAAAGTTGCTTAAGGCTTTCATATACTCATAAATAATATACTCTCAATTTGCACTTACACAAATACATAATCTCTTAAATATATTTTGCTCTCTGTACAATATATGTACAAGTATATATATATTATATATGTATACATATCATAATCTTTCGCTCAAAAATACACGTTCACACTGTTCACTTATAAGATTGAAGAATTCTAAAGCATTATATCAATAATTTGAATGATGATGTTATAACACGTTCGATGAACAAATTGATAATTTTTGAAATAACATGAAGCTAAATTTTCAATTACAACATATCCATAAATTGAGAAAATTATTCAAAACAATCTGAAATCGAAATACATAACCTAATAGAATAATAATTCAAATTGGAATTCAGTAAAAATAAATTATAAAAAAAAATAAATCAAACTTTTATAATTCCAACAATTATTAATAATAAATCTTTAAAAAGTCTGCAATATATCTCATTATAGTATATAATATTAATGAATATTAATAACTTTGGTATTATTACATCAAAATTGAATTATAATAGTTCTAGCAGAGAAACATTGCTGTTCAAACTATTGCCATTTTTGTTAATAAATTCATATCAAATCCTAAAAGCTCATAAATCACACTTATTGTCAACTATAGACTAATATTCAACCAAATAAATTAATCGTTATCAAAAAAAAAAAAAAACAAAGATTCTTTTCATTATTAATTCAAGGCATTATATTGGAATTTTATTAAATATTAATTTATATTCAAAGTACAGTAAAGAAAATAAATAATTATAGCTTTTTATATACATAATACTTGGAAAGAATGCTATAACAACTTTACTTTTGCTATATAATGAATAGTTTGCTTTAAAGCTTAACAAACTCATTCTACAATTTATCTTTTTTCTTATTTTTTTTCAAATAAGACTATATTCCTTACAATCTTATAACATCATAGATTTTGGTTTGTATCAGAGAAGCATAACATTTCTAGTTAAATTTATAACTTATATAATAAACGTATTGTACTACCTGCATTCAGTCTTTATTGATAAATTAATTAAAAATCATGGAAAAAATCATTGTGTAAATCATTGTGTACATTTTACTGTAAAATTAACTAGGAACTACAAATAGGATAAAAATTTTTTAATTAAACTGGGTCCCAATTTTATAATTATTTGCTCTTCTGTATATTTAAAATTTCATTTTGAAATAATTATAACTATTAATGTTATCATTTTTGTAATTGTATAGTAGACAGCAACATTAGTTTTGTAATAGTTGTACTGGAAAGCTAAGTAAGAACTGCTCATAATGTAGAAAGAATAGAACTCTGAGAATATCATAGATGCAAATGTTTATAACTAACAAATCTAATTTATAACACACAGAGAATGCATAAAAATCTGAATCAATACTTTGACAAACCCTGATATCTCGCGAGTCAAATTGAAGTTATTTTTTTTTTCTTGTTTCTTTCTTTTTGTTTCTTTTTCTTTTTTGTTTTCTTTTTTCTTTTTTTTTTCTTTTTTTTTTTTTTTTCTATTTTGTCAAACAGTTTTAATTCCGTTTAAGAATAATGTAGAACTCTTTAGAACATGAGTCAATAACCATTTACCTTTATGTTGAGCTTTGTGACTGATATTAATTGTCAACGATTTGTCATGGCAGTATAGAAATGGCAGCTTATTTAGTGAGATAAAACTCATCTTGAATAGCTGAAGATCGAATAAGACATCCGCTGGTCTAGAATTGAAATTGAGATTCTTTTCATAGGATTTCCTCCATAGTACAAATATTCACACCCGGACGTTAGTAATATGTTGCAGACCATATTCATTTCATAGTAAATCTTTTCATAGTAATTCTAAGACCAATTCTTTTTCTTCTATTGAACTTTTATCAATTCCCATAATCACTTTGTTTGTAATTTCAATCACCTGAACTTGATGATTTACCACCCTCAAGCGTCTGTTCATACAGACAAAGTGCACGATGAACGAATTCGTATTGTTCTGCTGTCTGAACCATACCACCTCTATCATATCTGGAAAAAAAATTTTTTAATTAAAACGTTAAAATTTAAATAATTATAAATTTTAGTTCATCAAATAAATATTTTATACCTCATTTGGCATAAAATACCCAATACGTCTACATTCCCATCTCGTAATAACTGCGTCATTCCCGTAGCTAAAGCTATGAAACAACCAGTTCGTCCAATTCCAGCACTACAATGAACAACGACCGGACCTGGTAAAGAATTTACTTCTGCAGCTAAACTAACAAGGGTATCCGCCGTTTGAGGTACTGCATGGTCCGGCCATGAATCATACCTACAATTGTTTATACATTAAGTGATATGATTCAAACAGAATAAAGATTTTATAATATAATTAATATAATAATATAATATAATATAATATAATATATAATATATAATATAATATTTAATTATTTAATATAATTACCAGTAATGCTGCACATGTTTTCTTTCGCCTTCATATCGAAGTTCCAAATCTCTGATCGTGTATCCTTCTCTTGTATCAATAGAAGTAACAATAATAGTAAACAGTCCAGCCTGTATGCGATTATTTTTATCCAATGGAAAATATGCTTCGCATTTTGTTTTGGCGGCTTCGTATAGTTTCGTCATCATAACTATCGCGGGTACTTTTTCTGCCCAGACCATTTTCCAAAAATCATCCACAGTGTGAGCTAATGGTCCCTGTGTTGCAATATAGCGTGCATTTTCTCCATCATATCCCTATTGAATTAAAATATTTAAATAGGATAAAGATAATAACGCAAAATTTTTAATTATTTAATTCTTTTCCTTTTAAACATACCCGAATATAATTGGCATTAATATAACTCGAAAGAGGATCATCAGAAGGACCCGGTAAAATCACTCTTGATTGTGGATTTGGTAATACAGAGCAATATCTATTTTTCACCCCAGATCCACATATATCTAATTTCTCGGGTAAATTAAGAGGAACTTCCCAAAATTCTTTATGTAACGATGCCGTGTCACTGATTGCCTTTTTAAGTTGAGCTCTTGATAAAACGTTTCCAGCGCTTAATAGAAATTCCTCTGCGGTACATTCACGAGTAGGTGTAACGATATGAGGTGGACTTTCCGGAGGTGGTGCCAATTCTATAGTTAAACTTGCGCTTGAACCACGTCGTTCTAACAATCCTTTAGTTCTTATACGTATCGGTTCCGGTCTGCGTTCTGGAGTCGCTACTGACATTACCTAAAGATAAATAAAAATTCATTAATTTTATTATCATTATTTCAATAATCCATTTTGACTAGTTAATAATCATACTTCTGGTAAACCAATGTCTTGCGTAAGAGATCGAGTAGGTTGAACAGATTGAACTGATGATTTCGTTGCGGGTTGATGAACCCATTCAATCGATCCTTTTGCAGGTTTTATAGATTTTTCCGGGTGACCCACAGCACCTTCCTCTACCAAACCTCTCCTATCACCATCTTCGGTATCTTTTTCACGCGACATTTGTTTCCGCAGCCATAACAAAATCTATAATTGGAATTTAGAGTAAATATCTTATTCGGGTATATACATTGGATAACGTAGAAATGAAATTTGAAAAAAAATCTTACCAGAAATGTAAAGAGAATGACGCCACCGATGGCGCAAACTGCTACGAACAGAGGCAATTGCCAGTCTAGCCATGATAAGGTTGCAGTGGAACGTACCTCCTGTCCTGTGCGGGTACTGAGTTGAGCTGCTTGCAAATCCATTCCAGCATCATCCAGTCCCGTTATGGACTGTGGGATCCTATGTACAAAAAGTTGATATCTTAAATTGATATCAAATTCATTCCCATATAAATTAATTGATATCTCTATAAATTGATGAATATATACATCAAATAAGAAATCTAAATATTTACCTGTGATGAGATCGAGCAGACATTCCCTCTGTAGATGGCAATAAAGGAATAGGCAGCACAGTATCTGTGTGCCACCTTTGTCCAGTAATTAAGTAAAATTTCTCCAAGGGACTTGAATTGTCATCATTGCTTGAGATTTCATAATAATTTGCATCATTCACATAGTGATTGGTTAAAGGAGTACTTGTTCCTCCTGCAAAAAAAAGGTCAAACTTTTTTTAATCATTCAATATCACAACAATTATATTATCTTAAGTGTATTAAGATTTAATATCAATATAGTACTTCGTATTATCTTAAATGTATTTAGAGATTTAACATCAATAATTATCATTAAAAATAATTTAACCGATTTATAAGAAATATTTTATATCTCACTTTCTATGTTAATGTTATCAAGTCAGATATCCATCAATAAAATACTATATTTTATACATTGACATAGTAATTTTCGCTTATCTTGACAATAACAAGCAATATCTTTAAAATGTCATAACATATATAGTATTTACGCAATATTATGCGTGAAAGCACACGCGATAAGTCAAAGTTTTATCAAAAGGACAACGTTCTACGTTTTTCTTTTATTAACGCAATATCGAACACTTTTCCATAATTTCGTACCACCTGTCAATTAGTAATGACACATTCCACTTAACGTTAATCCGAATTTTTTTAATCTTTATAAAGGAATGTTCGGAAATCATTCCTTCCGACTTTTGTGCCGTTATACAGGAAGTAAACATCGTGTTAATTTTATGAACGGAGCACCAAGTAGATTCTGAAGTAGGGAAGGGTGACAAGGCAACGAGGAGATAGACTATACACCAATGAGAGAACTGCATGTGACAAGTGGATGAATAGATATCGTTCCAGTCACTGACACAATCGTGCAACGGTCACCGTCTGTATACATGTACTTCCATTTATACACAAACACGAAAGTGGAGGAACACGAATAAACTACATCCTGTTTTCCAATTGTGTATACAGAACTAATACGTACGTATCGAGGAAGTCGCGATATTCGTATAAATAAAAAAGAAATTTCCAAAAAAAAAAAATTTAGCTCGATACCTGTTATTAGAAACAAATAGAGAAGGAACACGAGGATGATACGATTTAAAGTAATGTATAAATCGTGATTTGAAAATAGCGGCTGCGTGGACGTATAAACAGCCATGTTGATATCGTTAATAGAGACCGAACGATCTCTACTGCGCAAGCTTCTCGTTCGAACTGCCGAAGACGTTGCTCGTATACCCTGACCTGGGCTTCGGTTCCCTTCGGCCTTGCACTCGGTTACGTACGGGAGGAAATATCGGCCAATCAGTGACGAGCCGCACGCAAACACCAGCCAATCACATGGACGGTTTACTAGCGGTGCTGGGAATTTGGCGGGAGAAACTCAAGGTGAATGAAAGCGAAGCACGTGCAACTAATGATAGTAAAGTGCATTCGGAATCAAGTTTTACGTTTACCTATTGAGATCGAGCGAGAAGCATTGCGTCCTGTCTTGACTAAGACACGAATACACATCGTTTTCATCCGTTTGATGCATTCTTACGCGGTCGATATCGTGTTCACTTCCGATAATAGTATTTTTTTTTTCCACGCATTAATTTAACAGGGAGACTTTATTCGACGATTTATAAACGAAATTATCTGTTCTTTCAAAACTTATTTCTACAATTTATCTCGAAGAACGGAAGAAAAAAATATATATATACATATATATATATATATCAAAATGACTTATTTTTACTCGTTGTGTCATTAGATCAATAGAATCTCAATTTATATAATAAATCACGGCAAAGAAAAACGTAAACATATCTCCCTAAGAGCATTTATGGGTCACGGATATTCGTCATGGTGGTTAACATCAAAAGAAATATTTTTCTTATACGCTGACGCATCCCTGGGATGAATCACTTTATAGTATGCTGTAAAATTAAATTCTCTCACGAAGAAAATAAGAATAATGAAAAATATTCAGATTCGTATTACCGTGTACTAAAACTCCGTCGAAACACTGTCTCATGTTTGCATCGGTACTATACTTTTCCATCCGTGATACGATAAAAAATTTGTAAATGCTCGAGTCCTCGAGTCTTTCTTTCTTTCTTTTCCTTTTTTT